GATTAATGTTGAGAAATTGGATGTACCAGTATGTTTTGCATCATAAATTTAACTGTTATAACTTGTTAATCCCATTGACCATCTGTCGAATCTGCTTGGCACTCCCACTGAATTTTGCATGGTACTCCATCTCCATTTTGCATGAATGGTTTTTGTTTAAGTTATTTATCTTTTCATGGAAACAAGATGATCATTTGCTTTATGTAAATGAGTGAAGTATGTAAACCCAGAATATCCAGCAGGAAACGAAAGCCTTTGAATATAACTATCTGAAGTAAAGTGGTCTCGAGGCAAATGTTTTGTCGGCATTTCTCCAACAACTTGTGCACCATAGCGTCCCTGGTTGATAAGAAGCCTCACTTTCTCCAGCCTTGTCAAATAGTTTGTACAGTCTCGTGGGAATAGGTTTATTACTCAGAGTGGAAGAATGCGAAGGTATTAGGCACATTCAGATGTTGCTCCTGTTTCGAATTGCTGATAATGACATGGCCATTAATATATTCACACAACATTTCCTGGTCCCACATCCGCCACTTGTGTTATTTCAGTGTTAAAGGCAATTATGCTTCCTCTAAAAGAAGATTTATGGCGTGTTTTTTCTCTCAAACAACAAACCTTTTCGCTGGGCGGTTTACCATACTGAGGAGGCGATAAAAACAAGTGCCATAACAATAACACGGGCTACGAAGTTTATTGCCATGTTACGACTGTTCCACTTCGATACTAAAATTCACACCTGTGCCCTGAATAATTTTTTTGTTGGAAAAGATATGTTGCAGAGCAGGTTCGAAAGAAACTTTCTCGAAAGTGGGAACCTTATCTGTTCAGGGTAGGGCTTATTCCCGCCAAATAAAAACAAACAAATGCCGCCATACCGCCGCTATAGTGTTACTATGGAAATATTGTCATTCCTGTTCCTTTTCGTGCGTAAATTTTCGCACGCGTTTCAAGCATGCGCTCTCTTTTCCGCTGTGTCTGTGTAAGCGACTAGAACTTAAACATGCGCAGAGAGTGTATCAATATAAGAATATTAACGTGAGACACTCTTTCACTGGACGGCCTACATCTCTCTCTTTATGGCGAGCCTTACTGTTATCTTCATATATTTACGTATACTAGCCTTTCTAACCTCGAAAATATGTTTCACTCCAATTTCTCACTCCAAAGCGAAGCCAAGGAGGCTTATTCGCTGGTATACAGCAGTTTCGAGAAAGGTTACCGGAAAAAAACAAAACAAAACAAAACAAAACAAAAGTGCATAAATAAATTAACTCGCTATGCCTCGTCCTTAAAGTGACATTTTCTCAGCTAGATTTTCTTGAAATCCTCAGGTCAAAGAAGGTTCTTAAAAACTACTCTCATTACCTTTCGGGTTTACTGCGTGCACTTTTACGCTTTTTCCCGACAACCTTATTCGAAACAGGTGCATAAGAGACTAATGATAGTCTTTTACCATAAAAGAGACTACAAACAATAATTTGAAAAAGAGAACTAATTTGACCATTCTTCATTATTCACATCTAATGCCGTAATTTGCTCAATTTAGTATTCCTGACTTTGCACATCTGGTGCTGTCGCTCACAAATGCTTCCCTTCCCCCAACTTCAAAGATAATGATTTATAAAATTGTAACCTAAATTCCTAACCCTAGGCAATTAATATAAGTGATAGACAATGAGATGAAACCCTGATAAGCGACAACGGAATGTGACATTAAGGTACTTATTTCTATGAACATTGGACATATTGTTGTACTCCCCCCTTTGATTCCAGCCCCTCCCTCCCAAAATCAATGACGTGCCTTTTATCGCTATATACTTGCCCTGCTCTTGCAGGAAATTGAAAGGAGGAAAGCAGAAAGGTACTTTCGCAACTAGCGAGTCGTAATTAACAAATCAGACTCCCGCTTCACAGTCGTTCGATTTGCTTAATCACTCGTATTATTACATACCAAATTGGACTCCTTTCAGTGTAATTACCATTATTAATTTCCAAAATCGAATGCTAATGTCTAAAATAAGAATCTTGTGCTAAAATCAGACATCTAGACATCCAGAATCGAACAGTGGTGTACAAAATTGGTCACTTAAGTCTAATACTGGACATCAATGTTCAAAATTAGTAGCTTGTGTCTAAAGTATGACACTAGTGTCTAAAATCGGACCACCGGTGTGCGTCTTCTTTAGATTATCACAAGTTGAAATGGGTACAATCCCCGGAGCACTCTATAACGGAATGATGTTTTCTGTCCGATGGAATCATATCATATAGGACAATCCACTATCTGTGTTTCAACAGCCCAAATATTCATAGACACGTTTCTCAGTCTTAAACATTCCATATGGTTAAAATTGATAAGGACACAGATAAATTAACCTTTTAAGGCCGGAATGGTTTTGTATGCAAACTTCATAGACAAACAAAACGACAGACCATTACCATTTTGGCCATATTTGCTGTAGCGAATTTCTTTACTCTGCGATCATTTTTACGAGTGAATGCGTAGCATTTATGAGTATAGAAGGTGTGTGGGGGAAAAAAAGCACTTGGTCGATTCCTGTGAACTTTTTTTCTTTGTTTAGCCGCAGACCAGTGGAAAAAAAAATCAAAGCGCGGACTATCGCGGGCTCAAATTAGTGTACATCGTGAGAGTGCCGAAGTCGTGGCGAAGTCGTGTTTGAACTGGAAGGGAGTCGACTTCCTTGAGAAATGGCTTTTTTCTTTGGCTATAGCTTTTATTCTTGGTTCTTCTTGGATGTATCGACGTTCGACTGTTTTGTATTCATAATATATTCTGTTGGCGTAAGTGAACCACCCGGCCCGCCGAATATAGCAAGGTGCATTCCACTCAAAGGTCACGGCGAAGGTTTGCTAAATGTACACCAAGATATTTTAAGGATTATACGGAAAAAGGCAAAGATCCACGCCGAAGATCTTCGGCGTAAATGGTTCAGAGTGTAGCCTGGCAAATATACTGGCATCGTTTGTTTTGAAGTAAGAGTCTTTCATGGTTCGTTCTTCGTAACCTACAGAACACGACAGATAAGTCTTCCTAATGTATCTATTTAATCTCGTTTTCGTTTTAGTTTTAATAAGCGGCGCCAGAGACTGGCAGGCGTGCAAGGATTCACACTGAAATAAGAGATCAACCTTCGTTTTTCATAAAATTGTAATTTACAATCCTTGAACTTGAAAAGAATCCGAAGATTCATTAAAAAATATCACTTACTCCAAAGGGCTCGGAGTTTACAGGTGTTCAAAAGCTTTTTCTGTTATGGCTTGGGGACAAAATCGAGCATTACATTTCGTATCGTGTGCTTTCCCTGTGTGAAGCAACAAAAGGTGCCGGCGACTGACGAAATTACAGGTTAACACGAAAATCAAATAACATCTAAACAAATAATTTTGGCTACCAATTTTCAGTGAATTTTTAAAGAACAATTTTCTTTTAAGTTTCAAGGCAATTTGAAGATTCGAAATAAATATTACGTACTAAAATGCGAAAGTTATACACCACAAAATTGATAAATAGGCCTAAAATGAAATTCTATCTAGTTCTTGATCATACGTTGCCTAGCACGTGACCAAAAATCTACCCAGGCGGAAATCCAAAATTACGGTGGTAGTCTGGGCTTAGTTATGAAAATTATGAAGTATAAAGCGTATATAGACTCTATATGTGTAAACTTTACTGAACAACAGTACAAGAACTATGGCATAATTCCATTTCTCGTCCTTTTACACACTTACAATAGGTTTATGATTATTTCCACGTTATTTTCACATTATTTTATTGTCTGCCCTGTTGTAAAATACACCATTTTTTTATGAAATGGTTAAACCGCCGTTAAGCTAATTTTAACTCGCGATACATTATTATTAAGAAGAAAAAAGACAAGTTTACCTACCGAAGAAAAATATTTAAAAGAAATATAGACACGAACTAGTGCGCTCATTCTTGTCAGTAAATGACGATGATAATGCAAACACCAATATCAATAACATAGTTAATGTTAATACTTAAATTGAAAATATTATTTTCATAAAATAGTAAATTACAGGAAACAATTTCTGTGATAACAAACTTCAAAAGGCTCGCAATGAGGTTAACCGATAGCAGTAAAAAGGCCAAAAGAACAGCCTGCCATTAAGCAAAAATAATGACAAATTTTAACCGTTAGCCCTTAAAAAAATAAAACGGTGAAAAAAATTTTGGTGACCGCAATGAAGAGATATTAACTGTTAGCCGTACATTGGCCAAAATAAGACTGTTAGCCGTAAAATTAAGGCCATCACACCATTGGGACCCTCCATCAAGTGGCCCCCTTGCGCGGACGTAAGCGTTTTCTTTTTAAACCCAGCTCAGTAATTTCGAAGGGCTACCCAATTGACAGTTCGATATATGTAATGAAGCTTCAACACCTCTTCAACCCCCAAACCCCAGCCATTTGAACTTTTAAAGGCTGATTTGTTCAATTTCCCGTATGCGGGGCCAGGCTGAATCGTGTTCAAATGCCCTGACCAAGTGCTGGACTTAATAGTCAATTTTTTGGGTAAAATGCACGATCGGCGACCGTGATCTGACTTTCTTCACATTGACTAAGCTTTAATACCTTAAGATTGCACATCTCTCCTTCTTAGCCAGTTTCGTTCGCGAAAGTTAATTCTTTAGATTTAAGCACCTCGATATTTAAAGATATAACGCTTGTATTTCGATGGAAAGACTAAACACTTCCGTTTCAAATTTCCCATCCAGCTAGGCAAGGTTCAAATTGCACACCCCTAGGGCACGGAAGACTGTCAAAAGCCGTTGAGTTGCCGAGGGGTGGGGTGTTAAAGCTTGATCATGAACGATAACGCGAAAGAAGTAATCAAGCCGTCCAAGGTAAACCAACTCAACTATGTTTCTGTTGTTGGTGTTGTTCTTATTGTTATTGTTGTCGTTTTTTTTTATTCGAGATATGTTACAACGGTATAGATAAAATGTATCGGCGAGGCTCTTAGGTGCCATCCTTGATCAAGAATGATTCTTCAGGTGTTGTGGTGACCGCTTTCTTCTTAAGAAGCGCCAGTCCTTGGCGAAGGGAATTGAAACATCTCATCGGGCAGAAGGAAAAGTACTTGCGGAATAACTTCACATGTGATATTCCCTTTGCTGACGCAGTTAAAGATAAGAACAGAATAGCATAATAATCAATTATTCAGTAACATTTGTTTTTTTCTATGTACAGTGTTAACGAGAAACCTCTTAGGGTTAACTAAAATTTCCCAATAACGCGCTTTCTGACTTTTTTTTTAATAACAATTCTTCTTGACTTGTCTCAGGCTACGGGAGGGAGTGCATTCTCGTCATTTTTTCTTAATGACCTATCCATTTCAAAGATGGGAAGCGAACGATTGTGAAAATACATATTTCGTCCAATCAGAGACACGAACAATAGTAATTCACAGTATTAATCTCAGTATGTATGAAATAGAAGCTTATTAGATTCACTGAGGCGTTTTCTTAGCATTTGATAAGGCATGACTCTCAAGCAAGATATATATGGACAGTTTTCGTGCCGACTGCTTGAATGACTGAGGGACAACTTAGTGATCTGAGCAACCAATATTATTTACTAATCCAATTAGCTTGTATGACAAACGATAACTGGAAAGCTTTCTACCGAAGAGTGCCAGCTATGTTGCATTCATTGCTTTTATACCATAACATGCAAGATTTTCTCCGAAGTAATTGCTCTAAGAATACAAAAACACTTAGTTCTAAGTGATAACATAACTAAAAACGGGAATGATAAAATATGAAGCAATATGAAAAAGCAAAGTGGAAATGCCTTAATATACACAACATATGATACTAAATTGCACAGAAACGACATTTAGACATCCCACTTCCTTAAAACTTCCCGGTAATTGCTATTTGCACTTTTGATATTTGTGAATGTGAAGTTATGACTTACCAATGGCAAATAACAATACAGAAGCGTTAAGGACCACAAACAGGAAATTTACGAAGATGGAGTCGTTCTTGTCCTCTCCCTGACTCTCATCCCAGTTTGTGTAAACAGCGCCTAGGCAAACATCAAAGAAAATTATCCAAAGAACAAATGTTTGTAAGCGGTCTTCAAACTTGTCCTTGATTGGTCGGAATACGGTGTAGAGCACTCCAAAGACGCTGGCTGTCAGAACTGTGAGACCGATTTGAGTAAGGCTTTTAGATCCAAATAGGAAAATCAATGAGATCAATATCAGTTTGCGGTACATCTCTGTGACCTCCCAAAACCAAAATTTCTTCTTGTAGTTTTCAAAGAACACTCTGAGCCCGAAAGAGACTGCTTCGTTTTCATGGGACTCACGATATTTGTAAGTGAGAAACAAAGCCAAAAGTGGAAATCCTACGGGATATAATGCCAGAAGAGAGGCCATGAGCCAATACAAGCTGTGGCGAGGAGTGAAACACTTGATTGAGTAGTCAGCTCTCAGCAGGAAGATACAGTCGAGCTTTTCGTTTGAGAAACACGTTTCTACACACGCACCGGGAAGAGGTAGAATCTGAATAATCGACTTGCTCGTCGTGGGGTAGGTCGTTAACAACAATAGGAAAATGTTCCGATAGCAAGATTTCTTCAAACTCTTAATTTCCCTCATTTTTTGGCTTTCGGTACGGTCGGTTTTGTTTATAATGTAGCTTCTTTTAACGAAAAGATAAAGGCAAATCAAGCCGACAAGTAGGACATTGAAAGCAACGATCACTGTGAACTTTCCGAGCTCATCAAGACGTAGGGAAGAATGAATGCAGCTTAGTGGCGCAAACTGCAAGATGTTCCCTTCAAACACTTTTAGAACCTTCTCCGTTGAGAACAAAATGACTGGCCACTGGACTTTCGCTAATGCCGAGAAGATTCCAGCAATGACTTGGTAAAAACCAATCACAATCTTAAAGCACGACATGACGACATCTGCAACCGTCCGGTTATTCTCTGCACGTTTGGAGTCACCCCAAAGAACCATTAGAAACACAGCAACAAAAAGAGAAATTACCAAGATGGAAGAAGTAACTGTTACAGTTAACCGAGGACATTTCAAGCAAGCGTGAAATCGGAAATAAAAGCCGTTAGAGCAGGTTGCACACAGAACTCCTTTATATCCATGGTGGCATTTAGAGTCGATTCCACCCTCGCAAGACCTGGCATAAGGACATTTGAGTGGGTTTGGAAGTAAAGTATTAAACGTAGAATATAACTTGTCGTAGTCTTGTTTAGAAGAGTGGATGTTATTAACAAAACCTTTAAAGAATTCTTTTTCAAACTGATTTGACCATTTCCAGAAGAAGTTAGGAGCAAGTACTGCTGTATCTTTCTCACAAACAAAACCGTGTGGTGGACATGCTGAGCACGGACCAAAACGATCCAACCGATAAAAGTTTTGAAGGCATCTGCATGCTCGATATTCCGCAGTCTCGTTGGAGAGGGTACCTGCAATTTAGATAAATAGTGTATACACATTATTTGGTACAAAGGCGCAAAACCAATCTTAAAAATAAATTCAACCCACCAAACCGCTTACAGTTAGTTAGGAATTAGCTTCAAGGATAGGTTCTAATTCCGGACGCAAAATGGCGTCCAGCGGTACTCAGACTGGCGAGAAATCAATTTGCCGGCCGTTTCCGTTTTGGATTAAGAAGAAAAGTATTTCTTTTCTCTGCAACGCAATGAACCACACATGGAATGTCATGCAGGGAGAAGTTTTCATGGTGAAAAATTTTAAGAGTGTCTCAGAGACAAAACATCAGTTACCGTATGGACATGCCACACAGTCCGTAGGACTTGTCCCAGGATGTCGCGTTTCAGACACAAATGTACCAATGCTGCATCTTTTGCAATCAACTTGTCCCAATTCATCCTGATAAAAACCACCTGTGAAGAGATGTAGCTCTCGCCTTTAATGCCTATGTAGCGTCACAAGATAACTTACAATAACACAATCACGATCACAATCACAATCACGTTAAAGAACTGTTTTGCGAACCAAAACAGCTACACGAAGGTAAAACTCTCTCCAAAATGTCAAAGCACGTGAAATTGTCACGTGACACGCAACGTAAGTAAAACAGGAAATGAAACCACAACGGAAATGAAACGGTAGCCACCAGATATTATGTAAGAAGTAAGGATGCAACGACATAAAACTGATTATGAGTGAAAACTGGCCTTATTGGCAGTGGCCCTACAGGCACCAGCTCACTTTATACGCAGAACCAACTAATGAAAAAAAGAAGGCAGGGATGAAAACTTTAAAAACGAGAGCAAAGGAAACGACAATGGGATAGAGGGAAAATTTAAGTTAGGATACTAGCACTCGGAGTGACCGAGCTTGAGACCTCTTCTATTACAAGAACGTAACTAACAACGGCTAGAATTTTCTCTAGTAATGTTATTGTTGTTCCAAAATTAATTAACTATGACATGAAGCATTTTAACTGTCTTTTGTCACCTGCAGGACACTTGACACACATCTGTTTGGCGTGCATGAAATAACCAACTTGACAAAGAGAGCAGTTACGACATCTGGAACCACTGGGATGAGGCCCACAGGAATGGCACTCAAAGCCTGAACTTTCCAGGCCACCACTGTAGCTAGATTGTTCTCCGGTCAAAAGTATATTGAATGTAGTGGAGGGGGCACAGTCACTTAAGTTTAAGAAAATAGCAAAATATTGAAAGCAATTGAAATTTTAATTATAACAAATACTCAATTCAGTAGACTTTAGCAGGAGCCATTATGGGCTCCTGACTTAAGCGCGTATCGTCTGGAAACAATGAATCTAATAGTACAGATGCCAAGATATGATATCTGAAATAAGTCATCTTAAAACGTCAACATTAGGTTTACTCACATTACAGACTGATACTGTCCTTTCGGCAGCTGAAGAAGGTTTTTACATGTCAACGATCTGTAGATTATTTTGATGATAATTTTAATTGCAGGAGCGATACTCTTTAGATCTGTGGTCCCCACCAACGGCGGTCGTTTATCGCGGTTTTTGTACTGTAAAGGGACGAGCATTCCATCTGCCGATGGGCCAATGCTCTCAACGTCAGCTTACCCCTTCTCCCCCCCGTCTCCCCCCCTCCCCCCGCCTACCCTCACCCACGCAGCACCATAGTTTCTCCAGGACCTTAACCCCATTTACCCAATTTTCAAATGTAAATTTATTCTTATAGGTGTAAGGAGACTTATGGAGTAGAATCTCCCGCTCGAGAACACCATATAATGAACTCGCTTAGCTTGTTTCGAACCCAGTCTATTCAATTTTGAGTCCGGTGCGTTAACCAATAAGCAATCGCATATCCTTATGCGAAAATTAACAGATGGAGAAACAACATTGAGGTCAGCATAGATTTAAAAGCTTATTAATCTCTCCTTCAGCCTTGACGATCTTCGTTAAATCAAGATGTGGCCTTTCGAAAAGCGATAGTCACCTTTAAAATATTCAAATGAGTGCTTTGGATTCACTTACACTTTGGTTTCAGTGTCCATTTTGTCGAACATTCCATCTGGTAACGAGTGTAGAGGATTATCAAAGATAGTACTGAAAAAATGTCAATAATAAAGTTAATGATTAATTCAAGCTTACACATAATTATAGAGACATGGTTTTTTTTTTCTTATCATATGGTTGATGTGGTTACCGTTTTTTGTGCAAAATTTACCCTTTGACCCTTTAGAGTGACTAGCATCCAATTTCTCCTAACAATATCATCCCTGAATTAAACACTTAGGTCGGGAGAAGAATAGAGGTGATCGCCAACTGAAAAAGCTCTTAATTGTTAAACAGATTCTCCATACCAGCACCTTACAAAACGTATACAAAACAGTTTGGAGAATATTCACTCTAAGGGTGTAAAGGATTAATAAAGTCTCACAAGGCAACAATTCCGTAAAAACAGATCAATGATCCTCTTGAAGCCAAAGTGGTAAGCTTGATTAATAAATTTCACTGTAGCGTTTCAAACTTCACTTTATTTTTCAATTTACTCACAGTTGTTTCAGGTTAAGTCTGCTAAAGGATTCACTTCCAATCGTTTTGATGGCATTACTGTGAAGAAAACTATATAAAGGAAGAAATGATAACAAAAAACTAAACAAAACAAAACAAACCCAAACAAGTCAAATTTCTCATATTGTTAACACAACAGGACTCAGCGCTTGCAATCTATGTTACGCATTGAAACATTCATGTTTATTGGATGGTTGAATTTTTCTCAGTTTCTACTAATTCAACCCAGAGACTGCGTGGTTCAAACCATGTTGACATATAGGCGTCGTCATCCATATATCATGCCCCGTGTCTATCACAATGAAGCCTCTATTTTACTTTACTGGTTTCCTTGAATATTATATTCTGTTATCTTATTATATTCCAGGATATACGTTAACATTATAAAACGTACATGTACTTACACTGATTGCAAAGCAGTTTCATCAAAAACACCGTTGGAAATAAATGTCAGTTTGTTTTTTATCAGCATGCTGTAAATTGAAAAAGAGTATTAAAGACAAAAGCTATTTAAGAAAGGATTGTAGACGTAATATGATTTAATAACGAAATAAATACATAAATAAAAACCAAGATGGGATTTATTGATTAATGAGTGTGTTTTTTAGTCAGGTGGGATTACAGACATGAAAAACCAAAAGGGAGCTTACAGCGTCTTCAAGCTTGAGAGTCCTTCAAAGGTGCGATTGTTGATGTTGGAGATGTTGTTGAAGCTAATCATCCTTGATTTAGAAAAAGAGAGCATTGTGAACAATTGTACCGTTTGAACAACAATAATAATGGTTATGATGATAATAGTAGTAATATCAATAAGAATATCACTTTTTGATAAGTCACAATTTGGCTTGCGGCATCGGATCGAAGTTTTATATTAAACAACCTCCCAGAAAGCAAATGACAGTTATGTAAAAAGTAGAATCAGTCAGCGTTAATTTAAAAAGACTTGCAGCGTTTTTCTGTGGCTGGTTTTAAGGGAGGAGGGCAAATAGCAATGTTTCTTCTCCAATAGGATATTGCTGCTAACAACATGATTCAATTTATCATAAATTTGGGAAAAGTGCGCTGAATATTTACTCACAGAATTTGTAATGTTCCAAGCTTATTGAATAAGCCATCTGGTATGGACCGCAATTTGTTGAATGACAAGTCACTATGAGGAAGATAACATGAATAAGATTAGGGATAAGAAACAGACGCATCTACAGCATTTACTTCTATAGCTATTGGTACCATGCTATTAAAAATACAACCAACCAGAATAAAAGAAATCAGTTGTATATTCGACAGTATTGCAGCCGCCCTTTCCGATCTTATTCTGCCGAAATTCAGCGAGCGGTGGCGGCGTTTCCAGTTTATTTTAGGTGTTGTTTGAGCCGTGTCAGAGCCAAATATTCCCAGGACGTTAATTCATGAGGTCGAAAACTCAGTAAAAATAAATATTTAACCAAAAAGATATAGTTGACTGATCAAGAAGTTGATGTTTTCGTTGAAAGGCGAAGAAACTTAGGAGCAGTGAAGAAAACGAGTTAGGATGGAAGCAAGTTTGTCGACTTAAATCAAGAACTACCTCATTTTTAAAGGAAAGAGGTCTGGCGGAAATTTCCCCAGCCTAATTGGATGACCACTATGCCATTATCACTTTATTTTCGAGAGATTCGAAAGGTCGACGGAGATCAGAGGGGTATGCATATACCGAGAAAATACAAAAACTCGTGGGATATTCTATGGTATACCACTCAAAAGCGTTACATGACCAGTATAAAAATCCATGAACAGATGAACTCGTTCAAAGTAAAGAAAAACCCAGGAAAGACTATCGTAACTGGTTAAACATCATTCAGAGGGTAAACCCCGACAAAAACTATAGGAGCTTCATGGATTTATTTGTGGCAAAAGATGTCTCGATTTGACTTTCCTTGCCTGCTATTACATTAAATCTTACTTACATTGATCCCACTATGGAAATATTTTGAAATATGTCTGGTGGAAGATAATCGATTTCATTGCTAGACAACAACCTACAAGATAAAAGTGTTATTTGTTTTTAAACTTAAAAGTTTATTCGATAGGCATAATATTGAGGGACGTTAAGCTTTACGCAATAGGAATAAGAAAAAAATACCTCAAACTGATTGACGTATGAAATGCTTTTGTTTTGATAAAAGAATGCATAAGAAAAGAGAATGTTTATCTGGGCTTCTGATATCAAAATTAATGACCATAAAGAAGCATAATAGAATATCGTTTTTTTTTTACTGAACATAGCTCTTTTGACTGAAACACAAGAGCATTTGCAAATTATGAGTGAATCAGTTTTGCACGTGATAAGCTGTTTGCTTTTGCGTAATTATTATGTTATAGGTAATAAAGAATCATTCACGTGCAATTCGTATAGATAATCACATGATTTCGAGTGAAATTTGAAATAAATAAGCACCTGTAAAATTTTTTCAAAGACTAACAAAATTGCACGAGCCCGTAGGGCGAATGCAATTTGTGGTCTTTGAAAAAATTAGCAGGTGCTTATATATTCAACATTGCACGAGAAAAATCATTTGATTACGTATTAATAATTTACATGAAAAAATACAAAACAGCTTATCATAATCATGCAGAAGCAAAGCGCACACTTCAGGTGCAAAAATAATTTACTCAAACCATGCAAGTGACTTTGTGCGTTCGGTCATAACAACCGCGTACAATAAAAACAATAATACACCATGATGTTTTCACATCTTTAAGGTGCAAAAAAGTTCAATGTCCGGCTAAATAGTTCAAGGAATTGTTCAGTATGTCCGAATCACTTTCGATGAAATGTCGTTTGCGAGGTTTAACCATGTTTGTGTTTAGTTTTGGCGTAGAATCGCTCGAGTTAAGTGTTAAAGCTGGGTCGGCTCGTAACTTTCGATTTCCTTCTCCGAACACCACTTTTTCCAAGCCTATAACCAAAGAGCATTGCTTTTTACAGTGTTTTCGTTGTTAGAGCTGTTTCTCAGCTACTGTATTGTTGTTGCGGTGGCGAAAGAAAACCTGCCGACCATTGTTTTGCTCGCAAATTTTCAGCGTATCCAAATGTTGCGAAATCCAAGGCTCGCACTTGATTGGCTGTCTATGAGTTTCTTTGTTTACTGAACGATCAGAATGTCTGGTTTGTTATACTTCTCTGCACTGAATTAACCCTCTTCTGCACTGAAATACCTGAAAACTGCATTTATCTTAACCAATCAGAACTAAGTAATTTCTTCATGTATATTATTAGGAATAAAGCCTGAAAACTGCCCACTCATCTACTCCAAATTGCGCTCTTCATCTTTTGAAAACCTGAATTTTGCATCTTTTACTTTTTATTAACGTAATTGCTTTCAACGAATCATCGCTAACTTTATCTCCGAAAACTACTCGATGTCAAAAGTCCAAAATGATGTTCTAAAACGTAAGAAAGAATATAATTATTGCACCTAAATTTGAGGAAAGATAAACCTTATTGCTATAGATATTGTTTCTTGTACCAGCGTGCATTCATAATGATATGAAGCACGCAGGGAATATTGAATGCACGAAAAAAAGGTCGGAACTGTAGGTTCTTGGTTGCTGACAGATCTTTGCGCGTGCTTTATGTCGTAGCTGACGTTTGAACCAATTTGTTTTGTAAGATATTCATGGCGCTCGTTTGAATTTTCTGTAAGGGGAAATTTGATCTACTACGCTGTAATACAAACAGGCATGGCATCGGCACGGACTGAGAATATGGATCACGCTCGCACCCATGAATCTGATCATAAGAATTTACTGCATGAAACAAATTGGAAACGTCTACTCACAGAAAGTCACTTGTATACTTACAGCTCAAAGAGGTGTTTAATTCCAGATGTTGCAATTCTTGATATATCTTTGATCCGATTCTTATTTAATTGCCTGCAAAAAGCACAACAAAAACTTAAAAAAAATTGTGAAAACTTATTTGAATTTTCTTCCTTGTACTACCTTTAATACTTGAGCGAAGTCTTTCAATTAGAATCATTTGAACACGTCATATTTGTGTACTGTTGAAGATCTTCTGAATCGACGCTCACCTTGAACTGAACCTAGTCTCAATTTGTGGCACCCTGTGATAAGCTTTTGAGAAGACTTGCTGTCTCCAAATAAATGGAATTTGACCATGCAAGGATGATTAAAGTCACGAAAATGTACAAACTAAAAACACGGAGTAGTTTTTTGTTTGCAATAGAAGGAAATGATACAATAACCATCTTTACCAGTTGTCGTTAAAGGGTGTTCAGAGATTATAAACCAGTTTGTAATCTCTGGAGGCTGTGTAATCATTTCTTATCTTATCAAATCATAACAGTTATTGCAATTTAAGAATAGTACGTATTAAAAGGTTATGCGTCAATGAATGGAAGCTTCAACATCCTCCCCAGGCACCCCCGGGTTTTGAACTTTTGAAGATTAGTTCGTTCAAATTCCCGCTCCCAGAGCAAAAGTTATGTTCAAATGGCCCACTAATTTTTTTTTTATTTTTTTTGCACAGCAACCAAGACTTTCTACATATTGACCAATCTTTAAAGCCTACACTTCGTACATCTTTTCTTCTAAGCAATTCGCTCGCAAAAGTGAACTATTTGCCCGAAACGTGCACCTCCATATTTTAAAGATTGAACCCTTGTATTCCACACGAAAGACTCAACACTTCCAGTTCAAATTGCCCACCCCAGCAAGACAAGGTTTCCCAACCCCATTGGGCACTGGCAACGGTCAAATGACCGTGGATGGCCAGGAGGGAAGGAAGGGGGGGGGGGGATTTGAAGCTAAGAATTGATCGGCGCACCATACTTACAGAAGTACAATAACCTTAGGACCTTTCAAATCTGGTACAGATGTTAGTTTGTTCTCTCGAAGAATGCTGTAGAAGTCGTACAAACAACAACAGAAAAAAAAGCAAATGAACAGTACGCTATCGTGTTTCTCTTAGCAATAAGCAATGTCCTTCTCAGGGCCTCGATCATATATGGTCAACAAACAAGGAGCTACAGGATATAGTATCTAAAACATGGCAAAACGTTTTCAGTGCAAACTCAGAATTCCGGATGTTTTTAATTCATGACATCTTTACCGCAATACGTTAAAACTTAATCCACTTCAAGCTGTCATGTCGAATCAGAAAAATGTGTCATTTCTTCAGTATCTTTTTTTCTTCTCTTTTTCCTGTCATACATTATTTAATCTTCTGCGTTTGATTGTGAATTTACGACTATTTAGCGCTACTCCTGATCAAGCGTCGAACAAAGCAATATATGTTGTGTTGATGTTTTTACTTGTGATTGAAAAAAAAATGGGAGACATGACTCAGGATTTAGGGCAACATGACTTCGGGCGAGATGCCTTTAGGGCCACATGGTCGTGAAAAAAAAAATTGTTCTTATCCTATTGATATTAATATAAGTATTTCAGGTTTAAAGTATCAGCTTATCTTGCACTTGGAGTCTCACTTACCATCTATTGAGAACTTTAAACTGTTTAAACGTTCCATCACCTATGGTCTCTAATTTGTTTCCGTGAAGGAACCTATCAGTTGTTAGAAGGGTCAAAATCATTCTTTTCCTCCTTTTTTTGTGTGGAGGCGAGGGGGAAGGGGGGAAGAAGGGTCGTATTGCCTCTGCTTTGCATTGATGCATATGAAAGTCAATCAGCCTATCTATTCAAATGTGAAATAAATAAGGCGAGTACCATAAGTGCTATCCGAGGTTTAGACCACTGTCCATAGAAACGATCGAGGTCTCTTGAAAAGTTCTTTTTAGTAAGTTCTTATCATTATGCAAAGAACGGTGTTCCTTAACGACGATTTACTTACAGATTTGTGAGCTGATCCGTAAGTCCTTCTACTGTACCCTTGTGTATACGATTCAGCTTATTGAAGGACAGATCACTAAAAACGGACAAATGTATAATGACTTGTGGCTGGTCGGGATTAGAAAAGTTTCGGCAAAATAAACCTGCTAAGACTGTCTAAGTCAAACGTCAAGAGAAGTGTTTGCATAACAGAACATAACACACAATTTCTTGATCTAGTTAATTATGTATATATAACTTTAAGACCGCTTTTCTCACGATACATATCGCGCATAATCGATCGCTCGGACATCTGAAAAATCAATAATAATATCTAAGAAAAAATTTACTCACAGTTCTGTAAGATTTTGCATGGCTTTAAATGTTCCATTTTCGATATCTTCAAGGTGGCACCCACTCATGGAACTGTGGAAAAAAAAGTCGAGAAATAGTTTGAAGTGAAGGAAAGAGTAGGGGAAACTGCTAAACAATGTAAGTATGGAAAGTTCTGACAGCGGATTTATGAGACAAGTCTATCAGTAATGAATTCTCTGTCACTTTCAATGCCGTTTTGTTTGTTTGTTTTTTTGTTTTTTTGTTTTTTCAGCCAAAGTACCAACAACATTCCTAAGTCATATCTCAGGAGTCAAGATTTTTATTGAAAGAGCTGGATCGCGAGGGGGAGCTACGAGTTTTTAGAATTTATTGAAGGGGTAGTTTAAAACAATTTTGTGTACAGGATGGCAGCCAACCTCTAAAGAGGTGAAAAGCATGTATTTCATCTAAAGTTTGTTGTTTTCATTCTTTGTAAAATTGAACCCGCAAGAAAATAACGCAACTTTCTATGTTGATCCAGCTTTATTAAATTGACTGTAACTCGTGCGGAACATGTTCCGGTGAAAAGTTAAGTTTCAGGCGTAGTTATCGGTATGGCCACTTTGTCGAAAAAGAAAAAGCCGAATCGACCCAAAGGAGCACAAATCAGTTGGCTAAATAAACAGCATTCGGAAGCTAAAAGTTGAGCAAAAACGTTTAAACTATGTAAAACAAGGGACGTTATCTAAAAGGAATAGTGAGAGAGTAGTCAAGCATGCACGTGACTGATCACGTTCGCACACGACGTTTTTGTTACAAGTTTCGAAATCATTCGAGAATTTTTTATAGCTACTAACTTACAGAAGCTCCATCTTATTAAAGCCAGCGAAGAAGTTGGATGGCAAAGTAGGTCCAAGTGGATTTGAATCAATATTCCTGTAAAAGTGCGCAATGAGCAGGATATCCTTGTTAGATAACGTTTGACCGTTTGGTGTATAGACAGGAACTAAGTTTATAAAATAATTCAAATAGTACGCGCGCTCTGATTGGCCATAAAACCATTTTACATGAGCGTATGTAAACACGGTTTTCGTTCATCTTTCTTAGTTATTCGCGTCGTGGTTTCCTACGCTTATCTCTTGTTCTCCCAACCTCCCGCGTGTTTACATCAGGCTGTGTAAACATGGAAACCATTTTACATTTCTTCAATTCAAGATGAGTAACTGCGATCGATGATATATATAATTAAAAAAAGGATATTGATAGTTGAGAAATTGCGATAGTTATGGAAGAAACATGGTAAGTTTTGAGCTTGAACTTAGAAACAGAGAAAGCAGTTATTATTTTCATCACAAGCGTGGAACTATAGGGAAAAAATGAACTTTTCATTAAATATTTAAACCAATACTTTCGGATACCCCGCTCTGATTCGCTGGCAATGAGTTCACGAGAACTGGATCTTGGACTAGGCTTATAGGTCCATATTTCCATAACTCCCCTATATCTTTCATATTTGTCTTTTTTTCTCCTTTTACTTGTACGACATATATTATTGATTCTCTAAGCATGTGGAACAGGATAAAAGGTCGTACTTACAGTTTTCGAAGCCTTTTTAATCCTTTGAGAATGACTTTTGCGTCAGTACTTGACAGAAAGTTGTGTTTGATAACGCTATGCAGGTAAAATATTTAACATTGACTTTTAATGAATTTACTAAGTTTTAAAACATTTTGAAAAACGTCCGCTAGGTAAGAGACATAAGCCAGCAAACACCGTAAATTTTCTCTCCATATACTGGGTAAATACTTTGCAAAGGACAAAAAGATGACAAGTTCACTTTTATTTTGATTCCTTCACATTAACTAACAGCTTAAAGTGCAGACCTGACGGTCTTTTTTTTTAGAGAGAAAGAGGAAATTCATATTTGTTTGCATTACATTTATCGAAGGTCTTCTGTGTTTGCTTGCGATGTAAAGAAAAAAAGTGGCGATCTGACGAAAAAGGTACAATTTAATGTAAGGATAAAAATCAGTTGCGAGTTTTAATACGTTTTTTCTATCTTTTCAAAAATATATCGTTAACAAAACTCACAGTTGAGATACACTTTCCGGAAGGAAGAAACTCCCTGAAATTAGGTTGTCGGCAAGATTTCTAGGGAAACAATTGTAAGTTCCAAAAATATGAAGCTCAGAAATTGCATATCACATCGTTAATCTAAAATTTATATATTTAGTTACTTTTAGCTTAAGATTTTGAAGCAGTAAATAGATTCGCAATTATAAATTAAAGGGATTGGGATTAGCGAAAACACAGGAGCTGACAAGATTTTATGAAAATTTGCGGACAAAAAAGCTTTTAACCGGACAATCATAGGAACCTACTCATTCATTATAAATAAACGCATTCTTACACTATTTCCAGCTTATCCATATTCCTGAAAGTGTTGTGGGGAATGCGTCGAAATAAGTTATTCGACAAGTCACTAGAATGAAAAAAGTTTATCACAATTAATAATCAAAGCTTGCCGAATTAAAATACATGCAAAATTTGCTTCCATTTACTGCACTCCATTTGCACATTTGTACACGAAAGTAAATAATAGAAAATTCTTCATTCAGATTGGTTAATATAGTTTTGTTTTGTTTTGTTTTTGTTTTTCTTCAAGAAGCTTACAGATAATCAGTAAAATCTCCTAGTGCTAAAACTCTGAAAGTCTCTCCATAAAAAAATCCCTATTTTCTTTTGTTTTGTGGTAGGTATCTGAATGCTTAATGTCTGGTCAACTTCGCAACTCTGCTTTTAAAATTCTCATGTGCGACTTCAGACTAAGTGTTTTGACAAAATTTCATTGTTTTTGAAATTCCAAGCAGCGCCCCAGTAGTCAAATGACTGTTTGTTTGCGCTAGAAGATTTATTCAGGTTTTAAGTTCTTTCAAGGCAAGCTTGTAATCAAATTTCTATTACAGGTAGGCATACATATTGTAAACGATATTGCAAATATATCATCGCGCAAGGATCTGTAATACTAACGGCGAAGCTTACACTATTTTGTTTTTCCCTTCAATACATGTCTAATGGTTATTAAATTTCACAAAAGCTTAAAATAACAGTAGCAACGATGATAGTGATAATTATGATAACAATAACAATAAATATACCAGCCTATTAATTTTAAGCTGAATCTATCCCATATTTTAAAATTATTTACTTACAGTATTTTTAAAACAGTTAGGTTCCTGAAGGAGTCCTCTGAAATCGACTTTAAGGAACAACTCGAAAGTTTCCTAATGAAGAAATTGAAAATAAAATTAGTTGCAACACTTGTATCATTTTAAGAGCATGAAGCTACGCTAAAAAGTTAAGAAAAACATATTTCAGAAAACTAAACAAAGGTTACAGATGGGTGTTATTGCCTGGTAAATTTTTAAATGTGCTTTTTTTTTTTTTTTTTTTTTTCATTCAACAGATAAACCAAACATTGCTTTCAAATAGCAAACCTAGCTCAAACCATGACTCGGTTCCCTTTCTGAAGAAAGGTTTAGTTTTTTTAATCACTTACAGTTCAATTGTATTGCTTGGGATTCCAGTCGGAATGTATCCATGAACTTGGCATTTAACTACCATGCGGGTCCTACCGAAATTGGTACATTGACATATTTTTTGGCTGCAAACATCACTCTCGCAAGGTGTTACAATCCACAACAACAATATAACTTGTATCAGGCCAATAAACATCATTACTGAGTCCATAGTAATCTGCTGGGATCAAAAACAACTTGATTTTTAAATAACTACACTAATGATTCAAACACCTTCGCGGATTTAAAGAAAGTAACAAAGCTTACGAGAAAGATCACAAAGAATGTTTACCGGTCAGTATGTTTTACATTGTGATGATCTTCAATGCTTCTAGAAAGAAACCTGTGCTTTTCGATACAGCTTTCTGTAATGATCTATTTTGAAATTTGGGTCACTGTAAAAAGAGCTGTCTTGAACAGATCGCTCTGCCAATTCATAACGATGCTTCTCCATCCGCGTGAGAAAAAGAGCCTCTCTACTTATTTAAAAATCCATTGAACCAGCCTCAAGTTGAGATGTATGCACACATTCTTAGGTTGCCTATGGCTTGTAGGTAACAGAAACAACTAAAGATAAGTAAATTGAATCATTACAGTTCGAAAATGTGCTCTGTAGGTCACTTTCAAGAAAGACAAATTGAACTTTACTGCTAGATTGTACACAATTTAATTTCAGTTGAAGAAAAAGTATATCGTGATACGTGAGCTACAACTTGGCTTTAGTCCTTGTATCTCAGACAGCCTTTGAGCCGTATTATTCGCTGAGTTTAAAAACCCAAATGTAGGAAAAGAAGTAAGCGCTTACTTTTTACTTTCTTGTAAGAACATTTTTTTTATAAAAAAATCTTAGGCTGATATTAACATATATTCAACATGTAAGAACATGCCTAGCCTGAAAGTCAGCTAAGAACGTCTTTATTTTTCTTCTTGTTTTTTCTTTTGTTTGAACTTTGGTCTAACAATTTTTAGGGATTTTTTTTTCAAACTAATATTGCGGTTTTCTTATCGCATGATACACTGAAAAGCAATTCATTTTGTAGGTTTCCTAGTCACGTCGAAATTGAGTTAATGACATTCTGTACCACGTACCGTTCAGGCTCGAGTCACAAAAAATAAAGAACATTCAGCCTCAGCTAAAAGTTAATATTTCATATAATAAAAAAGAGTGTGCATAAATAAACATGTTATACATCAAGAGACTCACCTGAATGTTCTTCACGGGTAAATGAGTCAACAACTGACTTCTTTGAATAGCGAAACGTTGTTATCAACTCGATGTCTAACGCTGAATTGAATCAAGTCGGCTGAGTTTATTGAGCTTCATCAAGCTAATGGGAAGTTTTAAATTTAGAACCGCCCTGTAGTTCAAAATTGTGACGTATTTTCCTCTAAAGAAAGGATCGAGAGTAAAGATTAGCAATACTTTTTTCGCACTAATGCACCATAAAGATATTGAATATTGAAGGAGGGTCTAATGAATTTGTGACTTACCTGCGAGGGAGTATTTCTAACTGATATAAAATAAGACCTGAACAAGACATAGCTATGTGAAGACAATACACTCATATTAGATATATTCATATCTGATTAAACACCATCGCTAGTTCAAGTATCGTCCCGAAGTGTCGACGTCAGTGTTTTGAATTTTCGTAAATTAAAGAAACCACAATGATTTTAAGTACGCTTTGTCATGTTCTGTGACACAATGACAAATGTTGACATAGACGCACGCAGAACGAAACAGAAAGGTTGTTTCGACACGCGATCTTCTAGTTCAAGAGCAAACCATGTTTGAAACATCCAGAGAAATTAAAGTTGTCAAGCGAGAAAGAATAAATAGATGACAATGAACGCATGTTCGACCCCAATCGAATTAAATCATTTCCTTGCATGTAAATCGTTTACAAAGCGGAAAATTACATCAAGTGTGGTTGTACTGCTTTGGATCAGGATGGTTTTCAAGCATGATTTCAAACACTTTTTGCGTTGAATTTTCTATGCGCCGCTTATATATTTCGTGATAATACGTCCCGTGCGTATCCTTGGCCGTATGAAATAAACAAAACGAAAAAAAATAGCGTCTTTTTCCTTTAACACCCAATTAGCATTGTTCCCAATAAAGTGCTGAACGAACAGTTATTTGAAGAGGTTGATTCCTGTTTGGTTCATGAGCTAATCTTTCTTACTTACGCTTCCGGTTATATTTTTTACGTGATGATTAAAAAATAATGGTAGGCTAGAACTATTGTTAAATCGTATTTAATGTCACAAGTCTTGATTAACTAGAGATCGATAAAGGCTCGTTGAACAACAACTGAATAGCAAGGTAAGTGATCTGTCAATTCAACTGAGTTTCAACTGAAGAAAGCGTCGATGCACGAGGAATCTGAGAGTTCTTCATAGTAAGTAGAGGTTGGCGCAGTAGATAAACATTCAAGGCTAGATATGCATAGTCAATTTCAGGTGATTTAATCAATTCCATCGGTTATGACTTTAACATATTTTGTCAATATTTTACCAAAGCCATTTCTCACTTGTATCGAAGCAATAACTTTAATCAAAATTTACTTGTCTTACAAAAAATACGCATAACACGTGGAAAGTTTACTCAGCTTTGACCAACGTACTTGTTTTACATGCTTCTCGATTTACATGACTGCTAAGAATAATGTGTAGGTTTTACATTTTTGTCAGAAAGATCTGTTGCGTCGTACATTAAAATTAACTGTTCTCTACAGATATTGCTATCCACATGTTGGATACGAAGAAAATGATGATTTCAGCCAATCAGCAGTGGCGAACTATCTCCTTGAACTTGTTCCTTTTCGTTATCGGTGGAGGAGCAGGATATCCCTCGGGTATAGAATTTAAAAATGCAGCGATTTGTGATGGTTAGTTGTTTCATTTCATTTTTATTAAAACCGTTTCAGTGAAATCTGAACATTTTTCTGTTACTAAAACAGTATAGGAAAGAGCGGTCGACGGTAAGCATTAGTAGTCAATGAAGTGCAATAAGGCATCAAAGTCTGGAGTGCCTTCAAAAAGTGTTACGGTGACATGCGCATGAAAACGATGAATAGATAAACCAGATATATGACAAATAAAGACCGAAGTCCAAGCTTGCACATCCTCACTGAAAGGGAATTAAGGGAGGGGGGGGGAGGGGTTAGAGATTATTGACGGCCAGTGATAGAGGATCATTACAACACTACAGAGCTTTAAAGGGATATAAGGCAAATTTTCACTGTGACGCAATAAATAAATCTCTCCAACCCGCAGCAGTCCATCGGTAAACTTCAACAATCAAACGAGCAATACTGTTGCAAACAGGGGAAGGGGAGCTATTGCTCGTCTCTCCTTTCCTACGTTTTTGTTGTGTTGCATCATTTATCCGTCAGTCATCTAAGATATTAAAGATAGAGTCAAATGCATGCTTTATTCAAACCTTCAGTGTGAGAAAATCATTTTTGGTTCTTCAGCAAAGACAATCGCTTAGTCATTAAGTTGTCATCCTCTCATTATATTTTAATGAGTCTAGAAACTGTTTAAAATAAGGATATTTTGACAAGTTTACCAGCTATTTTAAGATGGTGTGGAACACAGTGATGACACTTTCACTGAAATTTTCGATTTTTCGACAGGCTTTCATGACCATACAGCAAAAATCAAAATATCTCCATGGCCTTTTATAGCAACTGGAACTCTCACCACTGTAAGTGTAACACTAACTTCCGGAAAGTTGATTACAGAGCTGAATTATAACGCAACGCGTGCCCTGACTGGTCAAAAATATATTTTATATTTACCTGTAAACCCATAGAAAACAAAATATTTTTTTTCCACCCTGTTAAACGGCGCCACACGGGGGAATTCCCAGAATTTAATTTTTGAGGGCATTTGGTTTGGAGGAAGCCAAGAATACGATTTGAACGTCAAAACCAACGACAAATATTTCATTTTTCAAGCATGATCAAATCTTTCATTTAAAACGCAGAACTTCAATAATTCTTGACTAGAATTCCCTAAACTGCCCGCCGAGAATGAAAAGTTAGCATGTTACTTCAAGGAAATTGTAGCGACAAACTAACTGGAGTTTTATTTAGGTATTAAATGAAAATAAGATATTTAAATAAAAAAAGACACTTGCAAAGTGAATGGACTCTCAAGTACTCTGTCGTTTGCTGTCCGCGATTTCAGCTGCAAAAGTTTCAAAAACGGTTTCAAAAATCGCGTTTTCCGATTAATTGAGAGTGTCTTGTTCTGATTCGAAAGAATAAAGAAATTATTATTTTTGTATTGTAAATCTTTTTGTGGCTGTCCCGCGCGCGCTCGTCTATCGCGTCCTATTTTAGTTGAAAAGAAATTCTCGAAATTTTCGACCCTCAGCTAACTAATTAGTACATAGTATTTTAAATTGTATTATTCATTGGGGCTCTAAGGGTTTCTCAGGAGTGCGAATAGAAAAAAAAAATGGCTCAATGCTACGTAAAAAAGAAAGGGTTTAGGTCAGAAAGAAAGGGATAAGCTAAAGGAATGGGAGTTTATATACATACTGACGGGAAAAAGTGTCGATGCACCTGTAAAACTGGGACCTAACGGTAAAAAGTCTAAAGAAGAATTTGCCATTCAAATTCAGATTTACTCAGACTTGCTTCAGAAAAAAGGGCATAATGATCTCCATGGTGCAATTTTAGCATAAAAGCTGCTTCCCCTTCAACTCCTCGCCACGTAAGCATCGACAATAACTTATCAATGGCTAATGCTTTTGTTTCCTTCAGCGGTTGATGTTCTCGACGCGAACTCGAAATACATAATAAAGTCAGAATCAGACGGCAAAGTTATCGATGAAGGGAGGGATGATCTTTGTAAAAATGAAGATATTCAAGAATTATGCCGCTTACCCGCAGACGGTAAGTAGGGTATATGAATGATCAGAATGAAAAAGTAATCCCAGTTCAAAATTGATAAAACTGTCAATGCAATGGCTATCAAGCAAGGCCCCATTTAAATGATCTCGGGTATCCGAGAAAACCCTCCCCTCCGAGTTACCCCGGGCGAGCTAACTTTTCACTTATTTCTTTAAAACATTCAGCCGACCGTTTACATGAAGTTATGAACTCGTCTCGGGCAGGCGAGACAACTTAGAGAGGGGGGGGGGTGAATTCTCAACTC